GGCTGCCGGCTGCCATCTTGGCTGGCAGTTAATTTGCATATCGCCCTGATTAGCCAATGGGAAGGGTAGTGGATGTACGGCTAATTACCATGTTTCTCTTTTATTAGATAGGATAGATAGTTGTGTGACTTATGCAAATTAATTTGTCTAGCTTTCCTTATATGTGAAATGGACATATTAATTTTTATTTAATAGTGTTGGGATAGTACATGAATTTAATGACACAATAGAAGTCACTCTACAAATGACAGCTGTTTCAAAATTATCTTATTTATTGGGGAGAAAGTGACTCAGCCATTCTTAGAAAAAAAGTAAATATTCTTATCAAACAATCTTTTTCATATCAGCTAGACATTTTATTCTTATGATGTTCAACTTAAATATAAATTGTAGCTCTGTTTTCCTAGTTCCCATATATAAACATGGTAGACAGTGAAAAACCTTGAGTGTTGGAGGAGATAAACTTGTATAGGGAAAATAGTACAATACCATGTAGGAATATGTATTTAGTGAAAATTTATTAAAGTTGATTGAGAGTAGAAGGCAGCCATTATTTTATTTCTTGTGCTATTTAGGTCACTGAAAGCAACTGAGAATTAACCTTTTAAAATACATAATTATGAGTATATATATTTTCAGAAGAAATATATACTTATTTTCTACATATCTCAGATATGTATATTTATATTTGGAATACATCAGAGATATATAGGTATGTTTAAGACATATCTCTAATATATCATACATTTATCTCCAAAGGAAAAGGAGTGCGGTAAGCTTCCAAAAAGTTCATTCCCCTTATTTTTTTAAAAAAATTCCTTAAACGTAAGTTTAGGTCACAAGAAAGCACAAAAGTGAATAGAGTTCTCATGTAGCCTTCTCCTAGCTTCCCCTATGATGGTATCTTGACTAACCATAGTAAAATAATCAAAACTAGGCAATTTTCAGAACTTAACCCATTCTACTCTTTTTAAATAGAAGAAATTCTTTAGTTCTCACTTAATTGAGCTGCAGAATCATCACACTTAGTGTAAAGACATTTGGAAGTAAGAATGTCTTGGATGAAATCTTGGCTGTGCCACTTATTCATTCCTGTGTAACACTGAGGACTTTTGTTAGCATCTATGATAGTCTGTTTCTTCATCTGTGCAAGGGGATATCTTTTACCTTGCAGAATTGTTGTAAGAATTGGCAGTTGTGTGCGCTAAAGAGCCTTTTCAAGAAATGCTAGTTTTCACTCTTAATGTTCTTTTGCCATGTTTTCATCAAAATTGAAAGTAGCTGGTCATTATTTTTAACGTGATAGGTGTACTTTGGCAGTTTATGAATACCTGTGAGTTAAAGGACCAGTAACTGGTAATATACTTGAACAACTTCATGGTTCCTCTGTGCTCATCTCTTTTTAATGTACCTGCTATATAGTGTATTGGCTTTCTGCCCCTTCCCCCTCAACTTACCTGTACAGCCAGCTCATCTCTCTCTCTACCTTTTTCTACCTCATAGTCCAGAAGTCATTCCTCTCATTATACTAATTATATTCCTTCTCCAGATTCCTTTTGTCATATGAATTCTATGTAACCTAGCAATTTTTAGAAATTTGTGGGTTTTTAAAAAAAATTTGAATAGCATCTAACTTAATTCTGTTTTATAAGTAGTTGATTATAACCCTAGGTAGAGAGGCTCACTTCAAACACAAGCTCATACACCCAGCTCCTGGTTAGCCTTTCACAAAAGTTGCCCTCCAAGGAACATTGCTCCCAGTGGTGTGATGGGGCTTTAGATGCTGCTGCCTTGGTGTCTGCAGAGAGAGGGAATGGTGTGCTGTCTCTAACCCCATCCACACATTCTCATCGCTCTGCTTGGGCATAGCTGTAAAGGCACAAAGTTCAGTGCCATAATAATGCTCTTTATTGTACTTTTTCTCTTCATTTAGCTCAGAAGTGCCTAATTCTATTTAAATACTTTAAAATGACCACTCTCTATATTGGCCCAATAAATGTGTTTTCTGGTAAGATCTTCTGGTATAAGGAGGACCTAAAGCTGTCCTCAAATGACAATTTTCAGTTGATTTGGAATAGGAATTTGTGGTTTTTTTTAAAATTTGTATTTACTGAGCTGCAGATTGGGAGGAGCCCGTGGGCTTTCCTACTCTCTTCTGTAGCTTCCCCATCTACTCTAATATAGTTTACTGCTCTCTTGAAGTCTGTGTGATCTACCCTATTTCCACATTTTTTGTTTTATTTTTTTCCTTAGAACTACCCTTTTTAGATTTTCCAGCTTTCCATTTTCAAGAGACAGCCCATATTTCCTTATATCTCCATGTTATTCAAATGTGTTTCAGGAATGTTTAAAAATGTTCCTTTATGTTTTAAAATACCTCTTTGTGCTTTAGCAAGTGGCATATCATTTCCTGCTTCAGTTTTGGCCTTAGTCTGACAAGCCAGGGCTAAAGAAGGGGTGAAAAGTTCACTCTCCGGAAGTGCCACTTAGGGCGGAATCACGTGAGGAGGAGCAGCCTCCAACGGGTGGGAATTCCCTGTGGATGTGTTTCTTGGAGAAGGCAGCACAGAGGGTCTTTTTCTCAGTTCTCCGTTATGTGCTTGAATTTTTAATGAGTCTGTGGCACTATTATTATTCCAGGAACTCACTATAATGCCCTTATTATTGCCTAGATCAGTGTTTTAAAATGGAAAGTCGTAACCCATTGGTATGTTATACAATCACTTTTATAAATAGAGACCAGCATTTTTAAAAAAAGGAAATAGAAAATGTAAACAGTGCATTGTATGAAGTAAGAATGTGTTGTTTTGTAAAACTTTTGTTTGATGTTACATAAATGCAAGATAATAGAAATATGAATTTTCATAGGGCTCTGCTTGTGTTTGTGCGTGCGTGCGTGTTGGCTTCAGACCCTCCCTTTTATCCACAGTTCTGGTCATTCAGGAACCTAATTTTCAGAGTATATGCACTTGTCAGTGAATATGTTCTTACAAAATATACAGTTTCATGTTTTGGATTTATTGTACCTGCATTTTAACTTATGTGTGTTATATATCCTCTTTTGTTTTTATTTTCTCTACCCAGGATTGTATTTTGAGGCCTATGAATATTGCTATATATACATCTACTCCATTGCTGCTCATGGTCTGTTACAGTGTGCCTAGAACACAATTTACTTATATTCTCTGCCATGGAAGGACTTCCACATTATCTCAGCACGAGCAAGGCTCTGTGAACAACCTAGACATGCCCCCTGTTGGAAAATGCCAAAGGACATTTATTTAGGATCTAGACTAACACCCCAGTCCCTCCCCCCCCCCGCCCCCCCCAGCAGTATGAGTGTTTATATACCAACCTCTTGCTGATATTTGGCATTAAGTTTTCTAATTTTTCTCATTTCTGTCTAATGGGTATAAAATAATGTTTTTTAGTTTTATTTTACTTTTATCTGACTACTGATGAATTTGGTCAGCTTTTTATATGCTTGCTATCTTTTGGATTTTTCCCTTCTGTAAATTCCCCTTCAAATTCATTGCATATTTGTCCACTGGAAGTGTATTTATTTATTTTTATTGATTTACAGAAGTTCTTTGAATATTCTAGATAGTTGTCAGCTGGTTTTAGACAAGTATCTTGTTAGCCTGTCACTTTACTATTAACTTTGTACATTATGTTTTTTTGTGTGTGTATGTGAACAGAAATCTTAATTTTTATGTAATTCAATTTATCAATATTTTACTTTGAGAGCTTTGTAAAATAAATTATTTTTATCCCTCTGTTACAAAATTTATTTTTATTATCTATTATATTAAAATCTTTCTTATTTAGGTCTTTAATCCACCTGGAGCCCATGTGTATATATGGTGGTAGGTAGCAGCCCAGTTCTGTGTTTCCATGTGGTATCCTGTTTCCCCAACAAGTTGGTACCACCCTTGTGCTCCCTTGGTCTCTTCATTCTTTGCCATAGTTCGTGCTATTTTGTTAATAAAGCTTGGTTGTATATATCAATATCTAAGCAAAGTAAGTCCTTATTGGTTTTTAATTTTCAAAAGTATATGTGAACTTTTATCTTTACACATGAATTTTGAAAAATTTATTAAGTTCCACAAAATTCAACTGAAATTTTAATATGGATTATATTAAATTTATAAATTAAAACAGAAAAACTAACATCTTTTTAGTAAGTTGTTCCATGCAGGAGCTTTCACTGTCTCTCCAGTTATTCTATCATCTTCTATGAGCCTTATTACAGTTTGAATTATTCTCCTTAGAGATATAGGTATTCTTGCTAACACTGGAGTCAACAGAAGATGAAGATAAATAATACAAATAACCTGAAAAATTATTCTAAAATGGTTATAGAAGTTAAGGGTTTAGCAATTTGTTATCATAATAATATCCTTTGATCATGGGTATTTGTGCAAGAAGAAATTTTAAGAAATCGTAGTTACCCCAACATACTATAAATAAGAAAATAGTCCCCAATGAGTAAATGACTCACTCAGGATTGCAGAGGGAGACAATGAGAGAACCTCAAATTGAAATCAGGTTTCTGATTCCTAGTTTATTACTTTTGCCAACAATCCATGCCCATAATAGCCATTTATCTCTGACATCTTGACATTTAGTGTATTATTCCCCCCTGGTAGAATGAATGTTACAGTTGGCTTATGTATCCTGAGAAATCAGCTTTTTTTCTCACTGATGCTCACAGAAAGAATGGTTGACCTGCAAAAGCCATAGGACAGATAAAACACACACACACACACACACACACACACACACACACACACGCCTTTTGAGCAGTATATTGTTTTCTTATTAATGATGGTGAGTTAGCACTTAGGTCCCTGCATTCTAGCTGTGGTTGATAGAGCCTTTCAAAATCATATACAGTGGTACTTGCACAAAATAATCGTCACACATTAGCATGCTAATGAAGTGTTAGGGTGTTAAGCATGGCTGGCACGCTGGAGAAGGAGAGAAAGGATCTGTCTTCACTCCTGCATCAGCCAGACTGCACAGTCAGTGGAGGCAGGGCTCAGGCTGAGTGGCAGGGCATTATTCACTCTTGACATGCACTTTCTTCTTCTCCCCACATGCACGTTGAAACTTGGGTTTTGCTGTCTTTAACCCATCTAATGTTCCCCCAAATAAGTTGGTTAGGCGACATAAATGAGTGCTCTTCATTTTTTCAGACAGACAGACGGCAGAACTTACAAGGGAATAACGAAAAGACTAAATTCTCTGTTTTAATGACATCGATTGAATAACATTAAAAAGTCAAAGCCCACATGATTTTATAGCATTTTAACTTGGCACATTTGAAGCTAAATAACATGCCATTTGCTTTGAGTTTGTGTAGAAGGGCCATTAACTGAAAACCCTAAATTGTGTGTGTGTGTGTGTGTGTGTGTTGTGTGTGTGTGTGTGTGTGTGTGTATGTGTGTTTGTTTCTAGGTCTAGTCACAGAGGTGGTGGCAGAGAGAATTCTTGCATGTTTTCTGAAGGTTGGCAAGATGTCAGTCTGCTCTTGAAGCCAATATAGACAGTGCTCTCCCACGTAGGAAACCGTAGAAATGCTGCTGAATTGCCATATGGCCCAGCGATTCCAAAGCCACATGTTAGGGCTCAGCCTTTCTTCTGGACTTTGGTTTCTTATTCCCACCCACCTGTCAGGATTTCTTTACCCAGCTGTTCCCTGCCTACTGACCACCCCCCCCCCAAATCAGCTCAACACATCTAAAACCCAGTTCATTGTCTTTGGCTAAAACCCAGGCTGGCTTCGAGTCCTCTCTTTCTGGAAGTGTTAGAAGCACTCTCCCAGGCTGGTAGGCTTACCCCTCCATGTCTACCAAGTCCCGATCACCACTGCTGTGTAGTGTCACTCATGTTTGTGTCTTTTTCCATGCCGGCCACTCTCCCTTAGTGTAGGGCTAATCACTCACATCTGCAGGCCTGGGCTTTTCTCACGGTGTTTTTACCAAACTGCCTTGCAAGTTCCCAGTTCAAAACTTCCCTGGTATCGGATGTGACCATTTATTCTCCTTGGGCAGCTTACTTTACAACTTTTATGAATCTATTTTCTAATAATAGTAACAACTTGAAGAAATAGTTTGAAGACTAGGAGATAATAAATGCCAAGTGCCAAGCATCGTGTAATAGGTGCTCATCTTGTATTACCATCTGCCTTGGTTTCTTTCAATAGTGATTTATTTCTTTTCTAGACAAACAACAAGTTCCTTTTATTTGTCTGCCTTGATGGGCCTTTGTGTTTTATACTTTGAACAATCACCCTAGGTGTAGAGAGTATAAAGAAAGACCGAGTAGCCTCAAAAAATTAACTTTTTCCCTTTGTTGTATCAAACAAACTTTCTTATGGCTGTCCCATTCCTGACCTTGAATTTCCTTCTTCCTTGCCCTCATCCCTGCCCGGGATGCACCTGCCTTATCCATTATGAGGACCTCAATCCTTATTTATAATCCTACTTCAGGCTACTTAACCCAGCTTTTAGTGACTCTAGATTCAACCTTGCTGAATGCTTGGCTTCTTCCTGGCCGATGCTCCTTCCTAGCCTCATTCTCAATCTGTGTAACCTGAAAAAGGCCTGCACCATCAGTCTCTCATTTTCTCCATTCAGTGGACAAATAGAAAGCATGTGATTTGTACATTATGAAACTGTCCCATTTCAACTCCAGTGTATTAAATCAGAGTGGACATAGCACACTGGCCCAGCCCATGGTGTGGGGGAAAAACTCTGTTCTCCTCGTCTCCATGACCTCTCCTCCCAGACCTACATTCATATTTCCCTGCCTCTGAACCTTCCTAGTCCGCCACTGTGGATATATTTCTCTGCTGCTGAGAAAAGTTCAGTGCTTTCCCATTTACTGTAGGATGAGCGTGAACTTCTCAGCCTGATGTTCAAGGCTTGCCCAGCCTGGATTCCACCCAGTTTCCAATCATGATTATTAACCTAATCACTCTGTCCTGCGTTACCCAGGCACAGCAGATGTGTTTGCATTGAAATATTTTGCTTTGTCACAGCTATGTCTGTTTGGAATGACCCTCCTACTCCTTCATGCATTTCAAGACTGAGCTGTATTTCAGGGAACAATTCAAGTCCTGATGCTTGAGGACGCACATCCAACTCTTCCTGGTAAACTTCACCCTCCCTCCCCTTGAACTTCTCTTTCTTCTTGCTGTACCCTTCATGTAGTGGTAGCTCCTGCTTCTCAAAGTACCACTCATCTCACTGGGCTTGAAAGCCCTTTGGCTTGAAAGAAATCTGATTTTCTTCCTTTAAAAAACATGTTGACAATATTATCATTCTTCTCAGTTGTTGCGAAGATGATCATGATATTTGCCATTTCTCTAGGCACTGTCTTTCACATATTGTGCTATGGTTTACATGTATTATCTCACTTAATTTTCCAATTACTCTGTGACATAAAACATGTACTTTACAAGGGAAGACAAATTTATTCAGCTAATAGTTGAGGGAGTCTAGTTTCAAAGGTCTGTCTGATTTGAAAGCTTGGGCTCTTCCCACTCTCCAGGATGGTGGCCCAACATTTTAGGTACTTAAAACTTTGCAATAGATATCAGAAAAGGAGAATGAGATTTCTAATGTGATCTGAATACTGTGGAACGTGTTACCACTGAGAATGGGTAGTAAAGATAGGGAAAGACTCAAAGCCTGTCAGCGGGACTAATACAGCCACACATGAAATTCTTGTTTACCCAGCAGAAGATGAATGGGCAGTCAGTTCAATGTTGGTCATGGGAAACATTGGCAAATAGATAAGACAATATCATTTGTAATATCTGAAATGTATTTTAGCCATTGGCTTTCAACATTCTCTTAAACTTTTTTCACTAGAGATGTTTACAAGTAAGAAAATAATTGATTTTGGACTTTTTTCTTCTATGCTTTCTTGGGAACCAGCTTGTTTAGTGGAAGGAACTCAGCTTTACAGCAGTTCCATAAGGGTTTAAGTTTATATTGAATACTAGAGGCCTGGTGAATAAAATTTGTGCACTGGGGGGGGGGGGTGTCCCTCAGCCCAGCCTGCACCCTCTCCAATCTGGGAACTCTCAGGGGATGTCCGATTGCTGGTTTAGGCCTGATCCCACAGAGATCGGGCCTAAAACAGCAGTCGGACATTCTTCTCACAATCTGGAACTGCTCTGCCTGCCTGATTGCCCTTAACCGCTTCTGCCTGCCAGCCTGATCACCCCCTAACCACTCCCCTGCTAACCTGATTGACACCTAACTGCTCCCCTGCTGGC